TTATCTTGATCATCAAACGATTAGAAAATACAAGTGAAAATGATCAACATGACACATTTTGTTAACGATAGTCACAGAAACACTTAATCTCTACAGTTTGCTTGCGTATTTCTTAGGGGTGTTTATGTATGCAACGACAACTGACTATGAGACCTAACAAGTGTTATGCAAATATATGCACGGCGAAAGCGTATTATTTGTCAATGAATAAATACGGATGACGATGTACAATTATAGATTGGATTATTTTCATTGAAATAATATTAAAAACGAAAAAAAGAAGAATAGAATAAAACATGCATGATGAAGTCAATAAAGAAAACAAAAGAAAATTTAACTGATATGATCATTCGTTGTATTCTACTTGTTTGTCTATTTAATATCAAAACCAAAAATCTTTCAATTAATCTCAAATTGAATCGTATCCTTACACATGTTCATATCTCGTAATTATATTGCCATTTTCCACGCTTCGTGTAATTTTATTCTCATCATCATCGTCATCGTCGTTGTCGTCGTCATGTGCACTTCGAGATGATTGTAGACCGATAAAATAGGACAATGACAACAAACGACGATTACACGAATTGAGTAAAATGTTAAGAAGAACAAGAAAGCGTAATTGGTTGTATATATGCGTTTATAAACTCTCCCATCACTCACTCGAAGGTGAACGATTAGTCTCTTTTTTTTTTGTCTCGTTGTCATCATCATCATATATACATACATCGATTATGATCAATCTTCTCTTCACACGTACTTCAGCCGCCCTACACCTATCTTACAAATACATCGTTCACCGCTCGATAATGTGTTTCGCATGAACAATTCTTTTTTTTACTCTTTTTTTATACGCATATACATATGTATACATACTGTTGGTCATCTTCATAAGAGTATATTTAAAATGCAATAGATAAATTCAATTTTGTCAATTGCTTACTATTTTAAAATGACATCACGTTTTATATGAAAATAGTGTGCATAATTTGTCTCAATTTGGATATAACTGTCTGTCTAATGAACCAATTCGACAACTAGGACATAAATAGAAGTATACTAAAAAAAAGAAGAAATCTGTTGCTCAATTTGAATATGTAATTAAATCGACGACTTTTTTTTGTTCCTAGGAGAATATAAATAATGATGAATCAATTTAGAAGAAAGATCAAACTTGCCAACCATGTACCGCCAACAGGTGAAACAGCTTGGTCATCAGATTCGCTCTACTACCGTTTATCAAAAGAAATGAGTGAGAGAGAGAGAGAAAAGCAAAGCCAATTTGTAAAAAAAAGATGATATGCTATACCTAGCAGCAATACTATACAATAATGAAATGAATAAGATATAACTAAAGATTGAAGAAAGCAATCGATTTGTCTTTCTATAGTATTAAAGTATATATAAAATAATATTAGATAAATATATGTATATATGTACATGAATGATAACCAATCTATGAATATATTGTGAACACTTCTGTTGAGCTATGTAAGTTTGCCTAGTAGTTATATATATATATGTATGTTTTACATTTGCCTATTATATTCTTTGATGATTATTCATGAAAAACCGGCGATTATTATATATATGTATGTACATACACATATACGTGTATTAAAAAGAAGGAGATTGTTGACGGCACTAAGGATGGGATCTTATTTCTCGAGGACGACAAGCAACCGACTTTTGCCTAATGGTAAAAGAAAAAAAGAAAAAAAAAAGGAGAAAAGTGGTGTAATTTGTACAAATATTGTACATGTATGTATAATAAAAGAAGACTTAACCATATGGTAAAATTTCCTATTTCTCTGGTAATAATGAATGTACATACCAATAGATCAATTTTTTCTTTCTTTTTCTTTGTCTCTCTCTCTCTCTCCTCTTCTTCATCTTCTTCTCATTGTCGAAGTGTCAATTGAGATTTAGCTTGGCGTGATTTTTTTAGTTGTTATAAGATTGCATCATCACTATATTACTAACTATAATATATATACAGACCTTTTGTCGTCTAAGTCCATTTAAATTCGAAGGAAGTTCAAGGCCTATTTATTCAAGCTACTATTCCCATGAGAGAAATATAGAAGAGAAAGAAAAATGACCAGACAACGCAACGAGCCATATCATATATCAGTCAACCGGTAGACAATAATCAAATATGTCAAGCATACTAACAAGCAAGTTACTTATTTCCCTATTACACCCGTTTGATCGCATCCGCACTCGTTTATATATTGAATTGAAAAAAGAAAAAAGAGAAGAGAAGAAAAAACAAAACAAAACGATGAACACGGGGTAAATTATAGTTAGGATTCATTGGTAATTGTAAGATGTCTCATATACATGTCATGTTCATGCACTTCATTTGTATTATGACATTCAATATAGAAGAAGAAGAACAAATCATAGATATCACAAGTTCATATCAATGAAATTTATTTTTTTGTTTTTTGATCATTTCTTTGTCAAGTAAAATTCAAACAAAATTTCAATATGATCAATCGTTTATTACCCTTGTTTTTTGTTAAATATGAATTACATTAAAATGCTTTGTTTTTCTATCATTCAATACAATAAGAAAAAGACAAAAAAAATTGCACAAAAAAAGAAAGAATTTTTAATCTTCACCAACGGGTAAAGCATCTTCTAATTTCTTTAAAAATTTAACTCGTAATTCAGTTGCATTGTCACCTTTTAATTGATCTTGAACAAATCGACATTCGACTTCTAATTGAACCTTATTAATAAATAAAAAAAAGACAATTAAGAATAAAAAATATTTAAATAAACAAACCATTTCAAGAGCACCACGTATTGCTCCGCATATCATCTGATTATAACTTAATTTTTGACCTTGTCCTTCTGGTAATTCAACAAATTCAGTAAGAGGATTTCCATCAAGTAATAATGAAAATTCATCACCAGCAGGTGACCAATTTGTAATTGATGGTGAAATACCTAAGTAAGTTTTAAAACCTTGCTAAAAAATATAAATCCCTTTTTTTTTGTTATTTATTATACAATAATAACGATTTACTTTAGCAAGAACATCAGCTGTTTCACGTAAATCGTGACATCGACCTACATTTGGATTTCGAGCAAGAAAATCATCAATTAATCGAACGCCAATATTGTATCCACTAGAATTTCATATATGTTTAGAGATATTGATTAAATATTTGTAGATATAGAAAAAATCTACATCTCATTTTATTATTTCATATTTCAGTGTAAAATAAGATCTATGATAAATTACAAGGCTACATAATTATTCGATCTCGTTTCGATAAGATAAGCTGATAACAAAATAGCTTGATGATAATATACTAAGGATGAATTTTTTTCTTAATAAATTATTGCCACGTGTAAAAGAAATTGAATTCGTCAAAAAAATATTTCTATCATTTGGTAAAGAATGTAATTACTGGTTACAAATTTGAATAAGACAATGATAGGTTTTAGAAAGATATAAAACGATCATCTATATATATTAACCTTTATTTTAATTTATAACATTGTTATTATTCATTAGATACTAATTAAGACTAAAAGTCAACTTGATTACGTAGGAAAAATGTATAACATGTCGTAATCATTGATAACAACAAGAATCTCATATATCTACGTGTTGAATTAACAAAATTTGAATAGTCAAGTTAGAGAATCCTTGATACTCATGAGTAGTTGAATATTTTATTAATAAAACTTACATTTTATCGAGTTGTTTATTAACTTCATCGACATGTTCATAATCATTAAGTATTTGTGCAACGAATGCTCCATAAGTTAATGTAAATAATTCTTGTGTCTTTAAAAAATAAAGAAATAAAATTTTATTTTAATTTTCTTCTGTTCATGCGCTAATCACACATACTACCCACAACACGTCGTGCGTCAAGATTTTGTTTAACATTTGTTCGACTCATTTTGAAATAAAAATATTTGATTTCTAAATCTAAAAAAATTAATTAAATCCACACACTAGAATTTAAAATGATATATAAATAAAAATTTCTTAGGTATAAAGACATTAAAAACAAAGGAATGATTTTTTTTTTGGTTGAGATAAATGTAAATAAAAATAAATCATTCAGATTTATGTTGATCATTTGATAGATCCTGTTCAATTTTTGTTAATGTATTTGATGTAACAGCAGCTAAATCATGTGAAATGCCAGGCATTTGTTCAAATTGTCGATGTACTTCTTTAAATTTACTTGACATATCTCGACGAATATAGGTAAATTCTCTTGTCATTTCTCTATTTCCATCAAGTAAATCACGTAATCTTGCTTGAATAGCAGTATTTTGTGATTCAATTTTATCCATAGCTTTTTCAATATCATTTAAAGCTGTTTCTAATTCAAGTAATTCTATTAATAGATAAATATATAAATGAAAAAATAAAAAATTTGTTTTTATCTATTATAGTGTATACCTGAATCAACTTCTACTTCATGTGTTGGGTTATAATTATTAGTCGGTTGTTTATTATTTGTTTCTTTTTGATTATGTGATTGACGGGGATCTGACGTTGTCATTTCAATATTTAATTCAAAAAAAAAAGAATTTCACTAAATAACTTGAAATGTATATGTTAAGAAAACATAACAACTGAAAATAAAATGTGACGTGATGATGTCAAGAGAGATTGTGGCGATATCTATCAACTGATAAAAAAATAAATTATTTTTTGCTAAAATAAATTAATTCAATCGAAATAAAATCTTATTTTTTCAAAAATAATTTTCTTTTTCAATGTTACATTTTTTAAGATTATCAAAAGAAAAAACAATTGATTGGTTTAAAATCTTATTTTTATATATTACTCTTTCTTGTGAGTGAGTGAAGTGCATGAATGAATGATAAAATATCTTCCTTAGCTTTTTTTTATCTAATTTATCATAAGAAATAGCAATTGCTACAAAACAAACATCATATATTATAAGATAATTATGATTCATACGATGTAGAAGACGTCCGTAATGTTTTCAATATATGATCAGGTGTATTTTTATGTGAGGAGAGTCACTTTCTAAGCTCGAAAAAAACAAAAACCAAATGAATACGGGACCACGTCAATGGCCTCATCTTGTAGGTAGAAGTGCTCAAGAAGCCGTTCAAGTAATTAGAAGAGATACCGGTATAAAAAATAAAATTCGAGAATAATTTCTATTTGTAAGTCTTATTGCTCTTGTTCAGGTTTAACTAATATTCAAATTATGCAACCAGATATGATGGGCACCATGGATTATCGAACAGATCGAGTTAGAATTCAAGTCGATCAATATGGTAGAGTTTCATCTCCACCAACTATTGGTTAACTACAATAAATAGACTTTTTACTTTTTTGGATTTGATAATATAAATTCATTGAAATATTTCTACTAATATAATTAAAAGAAACTAACAAAAAGATTCAATAAATGTCCTATCAAAATAATCATACATAAAACTAGTAATTCTACTCTATTTATGTTTGGTTATTACTCAAAACTGTTAAAACTTGATTCTGCCGTTTCTCTCTTTATTTTACTGTAAAGTGGCGAGTATTCTGCATTTCCTGTTTTAAAAAATTACAGCTTATAAATCAGATGGGCAAACGAAAAGTGTAATATACTCTTCTCATATTATGTAAATGTTGTTCGACCTAATTTGAGCAATTCATTATCATATTGTTTAATATATGAGTTGTATTTGAGAACAAGAGTAAAATTTTTCAACCTAGTGAAATGCGATTCCTTCCATCATTATTATCAAAGTATAGAATTTGATTTTTGAGATACGTCGATTCATTTTGATCATTCATTCTTTGTAAAAAATTTAGCATCTGATTCAAAATTTGATAATATATAACAAAACTTGTTATAGAGCATTTTCAAGGTCATTTACCTGGAGGATTGATTAGTTTAATTAAAAAACGATTACAATCAATTCTACATTTCTATAGATGGGAGCCTTTTATGCTCTTGATATTTTTAGTAGGTAAAAGGTGCACCTTTTTTTCTTCTTTCTTAAAATGCACACCAATTATACTTAAGCAAATATTATTCGCATAAACTAGTGTTTGGTTTTCGGCTGTATATATAAATACGTGTCGTTTTCTCATATAAGTAGAACATTTTATTGACGTACAAAGAAATCGAAACAAAAATGAATGCAGAACAACATGATTGGTCAAGTCTTGTTGGTAAAGATGGTAAAGAAGCTGTTGAGATAATTAAAAAAGAGACGGGTATGCTATTTGGAGAATATTTTGTATATAAAATATTTTTACGTCTTATTTAGGTTTAACAAATGTAGTATTGATGCCACCTAATTCGATATGCACGATGGATTATCGAACAGATCGAGTTAGAATTAATGTTGATGAACAAGGCAAAGTAGCAAGTCCTCCTAATCTTGGTTAACTACAATAAAAAACACTTTATACTTTTTTGAATTTAATAACATAACTTCATTGAAATATTTCTATTAATATAATAAACAGAAAATAAAAAATGATTCGATAACTGCTTTATCAAAGTAATCATGCATAAAACTAGTAATCCTACTCTATTTATGTTTAATTACCAGTTTAATTTTAACTCAAAATCTTTCTTTCGCTTTACAAAAAATAAAATTTATATAATTATGGTCGATTAAAAAATGTTGTTCGACCTAATTCAAGCAATTCATTGTCATATTATTTAATATATGAGTTGTATTTTAGAACAAGAGTAGAATTTTTCAACATAGTGAAATGCTATTTCTTCCATCAATATTATCAACGCATAGAATTTGATTTTTGAGACACTTCGATTCATTTTGATCATTTATTATTCATAAAAATATCTTTGGCATAAAAAATTGCCTGTGAACAACTTAGCATATGAAATCTAGTTTTTATTTTCGATTCGATATCATTAACTGTAGTGAAAAACGATGCATCTGACTCAAAACTTGATCAATATAGAATATAATTTATTATAGAGCATTTTCAAGGTTGTTTACCTGGAAGATTGATTAGTATAATTAAAGAGCGATTACAATTAATCCTTCATTTCTATAGATGGGGGTCTTTTATGCTCGGATACTTTTAGTAGATAAAGGGGTCACCTTTTTTTCTTCTTTCTTAAAACGCACACCAATCATACTTAAGTGAATATTACTCGTAAAAACTAGAGTTTGGTTTGTGGCTGTATATATAAATAGAACATTTTATTAACGTAGAAATAATCGAAACAAAAATGAGTGCAGAAAAACATGATTGGTCAAGTCTTGTTGGTAAAGATGGTAACGAAGCTGTGGAGATAATTAAAAAAGAGACGGGTGTGTTATTTTGAAAATATTTTGTATATGAAATATTTTTATATTTTATTCAGGTTTCTCAAGTGTAGACATTATACCACCTGATACGATGTGCACCAAGGATTATCGAACAAATCGGGTTAGAGTTTATGTCGATAAACAAGGCAAAGTAACAAGTACTCCTAATATTGGTTAAATAAACTGAAACGATTTTATGTATCCGTCATTTTGCAATTTGCAGTACACTTTTATGTAACGCTATGGTTTCTGCTTTGAACAATTCTATTCATATAAGAATAAAACATTAAACAAGCACTTTTATTCAAATATAAAAATCAATTTTTATGTATTCTATGATTTAGTTCTTGTATAACCGTTTTATACCGATAAAAGTTTTAAAACAATGTTCAATTTCATTGTTCTTATATATTATATGAGGAAATTGTTTATAATTCGAATAGAGTAATGTATTTTTGGGTTACTTTGAAAAGCGAGAAGACTTACAACTTCTGTAACGAGATAAAGAATATTATTAGCTTTCTTTATCAATAATTCGTCTCAATTAGCTAACGTTATGAAAGTCAATGTTGCTAAAAAATATTCAAAGCAACATATATACTACATTTCGAATTTTTGGTCGTTTTGAAATTTTATATCTCAGCACTTTTTTTTCATATTATAGTACGACATGATACTCTGATAGGGGTGACATCTATGATCAGATAAAGTCGAATTTATTATTTATGATAAAAGTATATAAAATAGAAATTCTTCTATTATGATTTAATTTTTTTAATGAAATAAACTGTTTTATTTGATGGAGTTTCATTTTTAAGGTTAAATGAATAGAAAAATGATTGGCTCGATGAAATACTATTCCAAAGAGCCATAGTTTACTTGCTTATTGTTAAACAGAGATTCTCATCTAATAGAAGTATCGTCGAAGTTTTTAACTTGAAGTTCGTAAGCAATAAGAATTTCCATTTTCTTTTTCTCTTCTAAAAATAGTTATCGATCATCTGGGACCTATAACTATTATTTTCTAGACGATCGTTTTTTATGCTTTATGTAAAAAGATATACTTTTATATATGAAGTAAACAAAAACAAGAGATGAGAATGTGTGTAGTTTATTTATAGTTCTTCATTAAAATGTCACTTTTGTATTTAGTTTAAAATATAAGAGATTATTAAATTAGCATTAATGTCAAGGAGGTATAGGTTAATTATTGTGTGAATTTTATTATTTTCTATTGTTTTCAAGATGGAATAAAAGAACAATTCTTTTTTTTCTAAATATTTTAATCTATTTCAGATATTGTATCATCTCGATCGTTCCTCTTCGATCATATCAAGTAAGAATCTTTTTTTTTGAAAATTAATATTTAAAATAATGCTCTATGATGATAAATTTTCCAACAAAAATATGATGTTGACTAATCACCAAGTTTTCCCTGAGAGCATTGAAATATTTTTCTATATATCTTCTATATTTATTTATTATTTAGATGGCCTCACATAAGACCCTTAAAATTAAAAAGGTACTTGCCAAAAAACAAAAACAAAATCGACCTGTTCCACAATGGGTAAATTAATCATTTATATATATAGAAATCTTTGTGAATAATAGAATTTTATTGTTATTATTTAGATTCGTATGCGTACAGGTAATACAATTCGATACAACTCAAAACGTCGTCATTTCCGTCGTACTAAACTCAAATTATAAACAATTATCAATAACGATGACAATAACAATTTTTCTTTTCAAGTTCTGATTGTTGTTGTTATATATTGTTTTTGTTAAAAGACAAGAAGATGAAATTAACAATCATTCATTTAAATAAATAAATAATTACCATCGGACGAATGAATGATAAAGAAAATCTTATTTATTTTACAATTACAAGAAAAATTTTCATCTAAATTTGTATTTTTTAAAGGAATGATTAAGGTTTATTGTACTCTTGGTAGTTGTTATTTATTATGAACATTAAAGGATGAGAACAAAAGCAGAATTTGTTGTACTAAGCATTATATTTTAAGCCCAAAAGAAGTTCTCTACCAAGATTGGACAATCAACTGAAAAATAGAAATTTATATTATTTAAAAAGAGCTTGTAGATACTATACGTAGAAAAATTGAGCTTTAGTTAATAATTGCTAATAATTTTGTCATTCTCATCTTATGATTACATAGTATATTTAATAATCATTTTGTCTCATATTGAATCTTCATCTACATTAATAAATAAAAGTATTGAATGTCTCAATTGCATTGTCAGTTTAATGAATAATAATTACAAAAGGATATAATTCTATATATTAGGAACATGCTCTATTTGAACTAGTGAACTAAGGAGTCGAAAAAATCAACTCCGAAAAGCCCTGGAATTTGTTTTTTGCAGTTTGGCGACATCTAAATCATTCTAGTGTCTGATACTATTCTGGTATTACTAGTTTTTCTTAAAACTTGTGATATTAATAATAATATATTTAAAATATGATGAATAAAAATACTTGGCTCTATCACAGATACAACTCCAATATCGATTCCAACTCTACAGTTCACTAATATGAATTATTTTATCAAAACTAATATTCATTCATATGCTTAATTGAGAATTTAATAATCTTGTTTCATTGTTAATTAAATACATGCAAATATCTTCAAGGAATAAAATAAAACTTAACTAACAGTTTTCTGGTACTAATTTCTTTTTCAGTTTATCTATTTCAAACATATACAATATTCATTGAAAAAATGACAATGGAATTAATTCAATGTATTTATATTTTTTGAGAATAAAGGTGCAAAATTGCTGTGCTATTTCAAGACATACGACATTCAAATCTGTTATCTGATGTTTGAACAAGTGAAACAAAAATATTGCAGTATTTTTCTTTTTGAATATTTCTTTTTTCAAAAAAAAGAAAAAGAACGAAAACGAACTTTGATATAGAGAAGATTCATAGACTAACAAAGTCTTTTAATATCTTTTAACTTGCTTGATACCACTCTCTTTACTTCTTAGTTCGCAAATAATAACAATGACGTGATAAAATTAATATGATAACAAACAGCGAATTTTATCTTTATCTTAAAACATAGAATTTTGCGTCTCTCTACTTCGCATACATAAAAGAGAAGTTTTTGTCTAATATTCTTTTTTCTAGAGACATAATTTGAAAACAAACAAAATGCAAGGCTTTCCGTGTCTTGCAGTTATTGTTAGTACATTATTAATTGTTTCGAGTATTGATGCTCGTCTTCATAGGTTCGTTAATTTATCAATCTATTTATTTTCATAATTTTTTTTAAATCTAGAGTAAAATTACATCATTTCGAATCGGCTCATGATCAACTCTTTAAAGTTGGTTCACATCAATCAATTGCATTTGCACGTAAATATCAACTTGATGGACCAGTTCCAGAATCATTAACAAATTATCTGGATGTACGAACGAAAAGAATATTTTGAATTTCGAATAAAGATTTTTATATTTTTTCAGGCTCAATATTATGGTGATATTGGTATCGGTTCACCAGCTCAACCTTTCCGTGTTGTATTCGAGTATGTTTTTATAATTTGATCAAACAAAAAAATGAGTTTGTTTTTGTTCTAAATAGTACTGGTTCATCAAATCTTTGGGTACCAAGGTATATATTTCAAATATTTGAAGTTAAGAAATTTGATAATTCTATTTTAGTGTTCATTGTTCACTTCTTGATATTGCTTGTCGTAAGTTAATGACTGAAATGTGATATGAAAAAGATTTATTTATTCTTCTTCCTTTTTAAGAATTACATAAGAAATATGATAGTTCAAAATCAAAAACATATGTTGCTAATGGCACAGATTTTAAAGTAAAATGAATTTAAATACGATTTAACTTTTTCGCTATTTTTATTTTCTAGATTCAATATGGTACAGGTTCACTTCAAGGATATCTCAGCGTTGATACTGTCACAGTAAGATATAAAATAGATTATATTTAAATTCAATTTTGATTATATATTAGATTGGTGGTGCTGAAATTAAAAATCAAGGTTTTGCTGAAGCTATTAAACAACCTGGAATTGTTTTTGTTACAGCGAAATTCGATGGTAAAATTCAATCATTTTATTTAATAGAAAAATATATGTAATGATACATCTTTTAAGGTATTCTCGGTCTTGCTTACCCAGCAATATCTGTTGATGGTGTTTACCCAGTATTTAATAATATGTTTGATCAAAAATTAGTTCCTGAAAATATCTTTAGTGTCTGGCTTGATCGGTAAAATTTCAAATATTTTATTTATTTTTATTAAATTTTCTTTTCAGTGATCCAGATAATCCACGAGGTGGTGAAATTATTTTCGGTATGTTTCCGTTTGAATATTTGTTAATAACTAATTTTTTATCTTTAAATAGGTGGTTCCGATCCTGAATTATACGAAGGTGATTTTACTTATCTTGATGTTACTCGAAAAGATTATTGGCAATTTAAACTCGATGGTATTTCATTCAATGGAAATCAATTTTGTCAAGGAGGTTGTCAAGCGTAAGTACAACTTCATTCTTTTTATTTCATAAAAAAAAATCGTTTTTATTTGTCACAGTATTGCTGATACTGGTACAAGTCTTTTAGTTGGTCCAAAGAAAGAAATTGCTGCACTTAATGCAAAAATAGGAGCTATACCAATTCCAGGTGGTGAAGTAAGAAAATATGATATTAGATAGATTATTTTTAAAAATGTTTCTATTTAGTATATGATTCAATGCAATACTATTCCACAATTACCACGTATTAATTTTACACTTGGCGGTAAAGATTTTTATTTAGACGGTCATCAATATGTTTTATCTGTAACACAATATAATCAAACACTTTGTATATCTGGTTTTGCCGGTATTGATATTCCACCACCAGCTGGTCCACTTTGGATTCTTGGTGATGTTTTTATCGGACCCTGGTATACTGAATTTGATTTTACTAATAATCGTGTTGGTTTTGCAAAATCAGTTATGCCAAAAAATTCCACAATGAAAAATAAGAAAAAGAATTCATTACTTCGTGAACTTATATTTTAAATTATTTCGATAATATTTGTCTTTTTTTCTTTATGATTAAAAAAATAAAATAAATTTTTTATATTCTTGATTTTTCAGTTTTTCGCTTTTTACTCTGCCAATTAGAAAATCTTTCAGGTAGTTGTGCATAGACTTTTTTGTCGAGTAAATGTGTTATTTTTGAAGTGCGATGAAGATTATTGATTTAAGACAACAATGAGAATATTTAGACAAGAAAAGAGACGTCGAAAGAAAATGCGCTCATTTATTCTTGCACTTTTTTCAACTACACAATATGATGTAATCAGAAAAGGAAATGATGCAATATGTCTTCTTTTTTTTCGTAATTGTACAATAACACAATTTAAGTAACATTGAGAAGTAGGTCAAAAGACAATAGAAGAAACTAAGTCGGTCATCGAAGAAAAAAAGAAATTAGTGCATAACGACGTCATATACAAGATAAGGTAATAGAATGAGTTCTTTTTCGCATATACAAGTAATAATTTAGTCAGTATAGATACTGTGAGAATGTCGTGCTTTGAATTATCTGTAATAAACTGAAGGTATTTCAACCCGTTGATAAAGTCTATTAGTTATTTAATTAAAATCTCGAGTAGCTGATGTTCTCGACATCTCATTATTACAAAAAGATGTTTAATAGACAAATCTTAGTTAATATAAAGTTATTTTAATGTTTTTTAACGCCAACTTGCAATCGGTCTTTTAGGAATTTTCTTGTGATTAAATAATCATATTCATTTTACATAACTTGTATTGAAAAAGATAGATCTGGTACATTGATTAAAAGTAAAATTTCTTAATGGTAAGAAGATTTTACAATTATGAGAAATATATTTATAGAGCATTATACAAACATCACGTGCTGACACGTATTTTTGTTTGTTTTTACATATTAAAATAACAAAACTCAAGTATGAATAAAATTTTAACTTCATAAAATTATTAAATATTAATAACATATTCATCAATTATCATTTAAACGACATTTTTATTCATAATTATTCTATTACTAAATGTATCTTATCAATAACAAATTAAACTCTTAACATACACGCTATCTTCAAAAGAAAGTTAACACCAAAATGTTTAATTTCAAGAACGTTTCTTTTTTTTTATGAAAAGAAGTCAAAAATGAAAAAAGATATAACGAAATTAGATATACATATAATCGAATTTGAAGAGTATCAGATATCAACACAAAAAGAAAAAGAAATAGACGAATAATAATGAATAAAACATGACATCATTTTGTTGTCTTTATTAATATAACAGGTATGACTTGTCGAAAAAAAAGAAAGAAAAGGGAGTTTACTTTTCTTTTTTTTTACTATAGACGATTGTCATTTTATACAGACGTACACATTAATAGTACAAATGTCATGTCCATGTTAACCAGATCATTTGACGAGAGAGAGAGTGAGTGAAAGAATTGACTGTTTATTTGCTGTTACTACTTCTTTTGGTGATTATTATGAGGAGAGAAAACCGCAAGTGAACGTTACAACTGTAATATACATTGAAATAGAAGAGGAGAAGAAGAATGACGTTGTGAGAAGCCAATTTCTTTCTCTTCTCTATATACTCTCGTCTCTATCGTCGTCTTTCGTTTTAAGTGTAAAAGAAAAGTTGTGAATCTTAATGGAATGTATGTGGTTAAAAGAAGCAAAAATTCTCTATCAACTAACGTCATGCCTGTAGTCGCTTGTAAGAGCATATGCGCGAGCGCTCGTTTTTGATTTCTTTTTACCGTTATACAAAAGGTACTCTATACCTGTAGACTCATTTGTTCTTTTCTATGTTCATCAGTTTTACTTTTTTTTTTTTTTTTTTACAATTCCTCTTTCTTTTTTAATGTCTCATGTATCGAGTCGATTACAATGAGGGTAAACCTCATAGTTTACCTATATGTCATTTTCGTAATACATGACATATTTATTTTCTCGGATTACAAATACACACATTTCTTTAAAAGATTTCGATAATTTTTTTCTTTGTTATGCGACCGCAAGCCACAATTTTTTGTGTCCTTCATAGACACCGTCGTTGTGAATAATAATGATAATAACGACAAACGCGCATCTACATGATGTAAATATTATTTTTTTATTTGTCAGTTGAATTTTCTTTTCTTTTCCTTCATTTCTTTCTTTTTTTTCTCTCTACAACTCTTTTTTTATTCTCATACTTACTTTTGTCTTCAAATCTTATTTTTAAACATATTAAAATTCATGATGTTTCATTTTTCATTCATCTTTCCTTTTTCTCATACAACCACAATTTAACATACATGTATATATATATTAATATATATGTTCGTGAATATAAAGCAAAAAAAAGAATAACAAAAAAATCAAATCTTAATTTTTTTACTTTTCTTATTCTTTGTCTTTACTTGTTTTGTTTAATTTCTCTATCTAGACAAAAAAAACTCGGACGTGAACAAAAGAAAGAGACATACGGCAAGTTCCCTAAGGGAAGTTTTGGGATGAGAATTTGACAGTTTCTGCTGGTGTATGTGTGTATGTGTGCGCGAGTGTTGAAGAAAAAAAGAGAGAAATATAAACACCGAAGGAGACATGCACTCTTCACGACGTAGTGGCCCGGTTACCGATTTACACAATGCTCATACAGTTTCAACGTTGATGAGAGCGATGACGACATCAAATTTATCGCCACAACGTTCTCATCGTCATTCATCTCGATCAAAAATAACTTTCGATGGAACATATCCAGTTCGTTCATCTAGTATTCATCAGGTTTGAACGACAAAAAAAGAATATATATTTATTAATCTTAATTTTTCTAATTTTCTATAGATCGAAAATCGTGATCGAGATTATGAACGACATCATCGTACATTTGATAATGTTCGTTCAGCTGATATACTTTCACTTGAAATTAAATTGAAAAGTAATGAGAAGGTCATTGCTCATCAAAATGCACAAGTAAATATTTATTTTTTTTATTATTAAAATAATTTTCATTTTTTTTTCTGTTTAAGATTGAATTTTTACATGAAACAAATCGTACATTAGAAAGACAACTTCAAGAATTAACTGATCTTAAACGTGATTTATCAAATAAACAATTTGAAGAACGTCTAAAAAATGATGATCTTCTTCGAGATCTTCAAGATATTGATCGTCTTGCACGAAAAGTTCAAGCAGATAAACAATATACTGTTGATGCAGCTGATAGAGAATTAACTGAAGCTAAAGTAATTTACAAGATATTATTTTTCTTTTCTATTAAATTTTCTATTGCTTTTATTTTTTTTCAAGATGGAAATTGAACAAAATCATCGTGAAATGCAAACACTTGATACTAGAGTTGCTCATTTAACAACAGTATGTCATTTATTCAAGATAAATTTTAATTGATTTATAAATGAAATTGAGTAAAAGAGAAACAAATACATGTTATACCGTTGTCTCAATAGGGAGTCAGAGACGTGTATTTCTATGGATTCAATTTTTTGAGTAGTTGATCGTTGTTAAAAATAGAAATAGAAAAATAATCGATTTTTTTTTTCATATTTTTTCATAAGCGAAGTTAGTGGGCATTAATTTACATTACGGAAGAAGAGAAATTTATTGGTAAAAAATAAATCGATCGAGATCTTTTTAACTAATATTTATATGTTGTCCGACTTGATTTAACCTTCATTTTTAAATCAACAGTTAGAGTTATTCATTGACAAAATAAATGAAGTAGTTCATAAAGATTTCAACAATGAACACATCATCTATGGTTTCAATATAATAAATGTTGAAAAATTCTTTATTTCGATGAAAATAGATTATTTATTCTTTTATTTCTAAAGGAAAAAAAGAGTTTAATTGACGATCTTGAAACAATGAAAAGTCAATATACTGAATGTAATAATGAACTTCTTCGTCTACAAGATATTGTCGATCGTTTACAATCTGACAAAGGTAAACTTAGTCGACGTGTTTCAAAACTTGTTCATAACGGTAATATTCATATAAAAAATATTTTCGGTATTTAATTGAATTATTTTCTTTCTATTTTAAAGAAAAAGATTTACTACAAGAATTACAAAGATCTCGTCGTACAACAAAAGCTCCAACTCCATCCGTAACTGGTGGATCATTATCAAAAAAACTTTCACTACCAGCTCGACTTGATATACATTTAAAAAATACCGAAGACGAACGTGATATGTATAAAAATGAAGTAGAAATTCTTCAAAAATTACTTAATGATCGTTCTCGTTGTGCATCATCATCATCACCATCACGTTTAAGAGGTCGATCATTATCTCCAACAGCTGCTATACGTTCAGCAGTTCGACGTGATATGGCAACATCACCAGTTATGCAATTTGTAAAACGATCAGCAAGTAGTTCAAGTGCATCACCTACACGTTGTACTGTATGTGGAATAAATCGACATAAATTATCGCCAACAAAAGTAATGAATATAAATATTTAGTTATTTATTATGTTAAGATTTTGTTTTCAAGGATAATAATTCATATGAAAGTCAATTGAGAAGTCTTGAAGAAGAACGAGATCGTTTTCGACGAGAACTTCATAAACATAAACGATCATCAAAAGACAAAGTAAATAAATAAGATATTTTTATATCGAAATAGAATCAAGAAATATAGTTTTTACGAGTAGAAATTCAAGTGATTTAAGAATTCTTACTCTAATTTATTTCCGGGTTATTGACAATTTTATTTTAATTGAACTTGACTGTATTTCCTGAAAAAAAACTACAATGAAAACTTAAGATAAATAATGATGTAGCAATTAATTTTGAAGAAAATTGAATGTTTTTATGTGTGAGAGGAAGAGATTCCCGAATCCCGTCAGTGTCATTAGATGATTACACATGTCTAAAAATAGCTTTAATGGATTATAATAGAACATCCTCTACTTAAAGATTTACAAAGATGAATGTTTCATTTGAATCAACATAGCTAAATTTTATAAAATATTGATATCTAATTTCATTTTTTAGGATTCTAATGAACCTCAATTATCTAAAGTTCTACGAGAAAAAGAAGACTTACAATTATTATTAAACAAATTTGAACGGCATATGGCTGAAGTATGACATATCTACATAATTTTAAATAATAAGATTATTTTCTTTTTTTGAAGATTCAAGGTAATATAAAGGTGCTCACGAATGAACGAGATAATATAAATATGCTTTATGAACAAGTTAGTTTATTTATTTATTTTTTCTCATTTGATTTTAATTGAACGTCTTTTTTTGTGTAGGCTAAAGAAGAATTACAAAAATCTCGTCATGAACTTTTACAAAATATTCAGACCCCTAAAGTTTCCATAGCTGCTCAATCAATTTTACGTAAAGTTGAAAGCGAACGTGATTCAGGTTTTATTCAATTGAATATCTTTTATTTGTTTTGTTAATCTCAATATTTTGCTTTAGCTATTGTTGAAGCACGAACAGCAGGTACTGAACGAGATTCTTTACGTGAACGTCTACGAGTAAACAATAAACTTTCTTTAAATTTTAATATTTCTTCTTCTTCTTCTAAGATTACAACCGATACTGGATTAACTGAACGAGCACGAAATGAACAACGTATTGAAGATCTTGAAATTGATATACGAAAAGTATAAATTTTATTTTAATTAAAAAATATTTATTTTATATTTTTTGAAAAGCTTGAAAATGATCGTGAAGAAATTCTTCGAGAAAATCATTTATTACGTGAACAAATTCGAGATTTAACAAATAAACTTGATGAACGATCTTTTACAATATCACAATTAAATCAAGAATTAGATGATCAAAAAAATGCATCAGCACAATTAAGATATTTATCGGAAGAAGCTGAACGTCTTGTACAAGAAAATCAACGACAATTAAATTTAAAAAAAGATGAACTTCGTACTCATGAAGATAAAATCAATAGACTTGAAAAGAAAATTTGTATGGTTAAAACTTTCAATTTCGAACAAAATTATACATGAAATTTTTGTTTTAGATGAATTACAAGAAACAAATAAAGCAGTGAAAGATGATTTTCATATTGTACGTCAAACTGTTCAGACACTTGATAAAGAAAAAGAACGTTTATGTAATGTAATTGATTTAAAATCTGAAGAAAATCAACGTTTGACACAAGAACTTAACTCAAAAATACGTCGAATTGAAGAACTTAATAGAATAGTCGCTGAATTAGAAGTTGAATTAGAGTTAAATATTCGATTTTTTTTTCTTTATTTTTAATTCTAAATTTATTTTGTTTCAGTCGTTCAAATGATGATACGAAACAAAAATTAAAAGAACTTTCAAATATGAGAATACAATTTGATAGAAATCTTGAAGAATTAAATGATTATCGACGTAAATTTGATATTGGTTCAAGAGATAACAAACATTTACAAGATGATTTATCAAGTCTTAGACGAGAAAATCAAGTAAGAAATGATTATTTATCTTCCCAAAAAAAAAGAATACAATTTTTCTCTCAATTAAATATTTGAGCTAATTTACAATAATTATTCTTACTTTCAGACACTTCATCAGGAACTTGAACATGCAATTGATGATAAAGAAAATCTCAAATTACAAGTACAAGAGTATATCAAACAAGTATCAAGTTGTGAAAGTATTATCACACAAAAGGTACATATATATTCACGAATTAATTTAGTGATATGTGTCTTTATAAAAATATTCAGGCGCAGATCCAGGGAGGTGCGGAGGGTGTGGCCGCACCCCCCTTTAAAGCAAATTTATGCTAAATTTTAGCAGTTTTCCGCAGAAATATTGAGTTTGTATCGTATCCGCACCCCCCTTCGAAAATTCCTGGATCCGCCACTGAAAATATTATCATATGTTTTGTAGTATTCAACTAAAGTGAATTATCCAAGATTTTATATGATTTATAATAGCATTCAGTTCATGTTTTATATTACTTAAGATAAACCAAAAAGTGCTAGCTATGATATTTGAAATTCTCGAAAATATTTCGTATTGAAAAAAATCTGACTGATCAGACACACGAAGAATTGTCAGTTTAAGAGATTTTAAAAACACTCGATAAACTATTACAAAAGATGAAACTTTTTATAACTAAAAATTATGATTATCTTACGCATTTAATTTTATTACAATTTTTGTTTGCTTCGAAGTATTACATAGCTCATTTAAAAGAACGTTATAAAAATTAAATCTAAGATAGACAAGATATTTTCCTATGGCTTGATAAAGTAAATTCTCCAATACCTAATGTTTTAAAATACTATTCATATACAAGCCTAAGTCATTTTTTTCAGATTATTTATCAATAATCATTTTACTTAGAAATATATGTATATATTTTGTTTTAGGAAAATGATCGTGCAGCTTTAATTGAACAATATCGTGAAGCTAGTACTGAATTAAGTCGAGCAAAAATGACATTAACTGACATCGAATCACGTGCTAATGATCTTAAACAAGAAGTACAAATAAAATCAACTGATGTTAAACGATTATTAGACCGTATTGATTCTCTTGAACGAGATGTTCATCATGTATGATAGGAAAAAAAAGAGAACTGAAGAAGAATTTTATCTAATTTAATATTTTAGCATGCATCTGTTAGTCAAGAATATGAAATTCAATTATCAAATATGACACGTTCAACACAACGTAATGAAGAAATAATAAAAAAATTACAATCCGATAAACAAAATTTACTAAATGAATTAACTAATAGTCGAGACCATAATTCATCAATTGAAAGTAAAAGAGAACAAATTATACGACAATTAACATCAACTGAACATGAAAATGATCAATTACAAGCAGCTAATAGTGATATGAATGCTGAAATTGATATGTTACGTACACAAATAAGTAATGAAAAAGCTGTTGTACAAAGTTTAGAAGAACTTATTAATTCATTACGTGAAAAAGAATTTCAAGCACAAATACATGTGAAAGAAAGAGATTCAGAATTACATGTAGCAAAAGATCGTGCTAGTATCAATGAACTTAAAGTGTACGATATCAACTAAATATTTTTCTTATTATATATTTTCGAAAATTTTAGACATACTCAAAGTAAAGAAATAGCTGCGTTACGAACACAAATTATTGGAATAGAATCCGATAATAAAAGATTGAAACATTTATTAACAAATGAAAGACATGAAAAGTAATTTGAAAATAAATAAATAAATAATTTATTTTTTTTATAAATTAAAGAGATATGGCAACTCAAGATTTAAGAAAACTAACTGATCTTACATCACATATCGATTATGAGTCTCGACATCGTAGTACATCACCTAGAATAACAGCATCTGCTTCAAAGTAAGAATCTTTTTATAAAAGTATACATATATTTTTTTCCTTAATTTCAAGTACAAGTATTCACCGATCACCTGGAAGAAGTTATTCCCCACATTCTGATTCCTCTCCAACAAAAGTAAGTATTCTCCTATTTTCAAAAACTTATTTATATTATCCATTTATGTAAAGATCTCCATCTCACTCAAAGTTACTGAGGTTGACGATAATTGTGAAACTAATCCTGACACTGAAGGTAAATATTAATATTACTTTCTATTTTCATATACATATCTTTTATTTAGGGCGTTAATCAATCGTGTATTGTTAACTCGCATTCTAAAATAAATCTTATTTCTAATCCGTCCAATTTTCATATATTGTTTTTTCTTTTATATCTTTGGTTTTTGTGTGTGTGTGTTTGTATCTTTTTATTTAAATCAACAAGAACAAGTGTTGTTTTACTTCTTTTTACTAAACGTTAGCGTGTGTACGTGCACGCTGTTCTTTCTTTTTTTTTTCTCTCTCTCTCTCTCGTGTGTGTGCGTATTTTTAGGCAACAGGAAAATCTTAAAAGCTCAAATTCGAAAAAAAAAAGAAAATAATGACAATTCTATTTTCTTTTTTTTGTTTATGTAGATTTGTGATATGAGTAAAAAACGATGACTTTGTTTTTTTTTTCTTAAATAAAAATCAAATAATATAATATGAGTAGAAATCTAATTTGAACTGTTTTTATTTATTATTTGTTTGTTATTTTTTTTTTCTCAAGAAATATTGATTAATTAAAAATGATTTATATGATTTGAATCTTTTATATGATCATTTGTTTTACGACGATTAAGTCTACCAAGAAAGTGTTGAATACGATTAGGATGAACTTGCATTTCACCACGACGTAAAATTTGTTCTAACATTTGTGCAACTTTTTTCGAATTACGACGATATAATTGATGTTCTTGATCATCTTCAATTGATGATGATGATGATGATGATAAATCAGCATTTATTGCTTGACTAACCTAAAAAGAAAAATATTATTTTTAAAAATCTTCGCTTTTCTTGTTTATTTTTACCTCAATGACGATCATTGAAATGCATAATAAAACCAGACAGTAACGAAGATTAACGAATGAATATGATTGATGATGATAATAGACCATGTTGTTTTTGTCAAATAATCTGAATAAGAAATTTGCTGCTTTTATATTTTTCCTCTCTAAAGAAGATAAGATAATTATTTTTCAAAACTAGATAAAATTTCTTGATTAATCAAGGAGAATGATCAAATTGTCTGTTGTTGTTGTCTTTCACGCAATGTACTATTATGTGATTTACGTTCATAGTTTAAAAGGTTAGAAAGTCAACTCATGTCAGAAGTTTTTAATATAACGAAAGATGACTTTGAAAAAAGATATCGATATATGAAATAGTAATACTCTTACTTAAGCGTGTGAATATATATGAACGTAGAGAAGAGAAAGACAGGAATAAATAAACTATAATGTCATTAAGACCGGAAAAAGAAATAAACATATCTTCTTAAGAATATTCTCCGAATGATAGAAAAAAAAGAAATTATTTTTAGCTACTTTCGTACAGTAATCAACCGGGTCAATTCTCTAGGGAAAATATTAACATTTTTCTTCATATTTTGTTTTTCATTGCTTACTCAATTTATTGATCAAAATTTTCTCATTAATTCTCTTATGTTATAATAGTTTTTTTTTAATATACATAAATAGATGAAACCTTTACTTGGATATTTAATTTAAATAAAATACAAATTCTCTATCAGATGTCAAATTTAATAGATGATTTCTTATCTGTTGAGATATGTCGATAACATTTAATGATATAAAAATCAAAAATAAGATGTTTCAATTTGATTATGATTGTCATAATATAGAAATTGAAAAATTAATATACATCATCTATTTTCTCATGATAACAATCAATGTTTTCTTTCACAGCAGTTATTTATTGATTTAATGATCTGCTCTTTTTAATCAAGTATTTTATTTCAAATTCTTTGAACATTATTTTCATATGTAATCATATTTAGTTATATCATATCAATTGTCTTCAAAATAGTTGAAATTAATCATAATTTGAAAATCAATAAACTTCCATGGTCATAAATCTCAATTATTTATCTTGTTGAAAAGGTCAAGTACAATTCTAGTTGTTCTACTTAACACAAAACATATTGATGTCTAACTTTTCCACAGGGAGCAATATGTCTTATCTCATTGTTCAACATAAAGATTTGATATATTCTGTTAATCAAACTGACGATGATAATATTAATAGTATTTTCATTGATTTTATATGAATATACACATAGAAACCTTATTAATATGTATTTCTCTATCTGTTGTGAACATAACACACTATACGATTTCGTCAATCTTCTATATATAATTAGCTAGTCTAGTGAACCGATCAGTCATAATCTTTTGTATGGCAGGATATGTTATAATGAGCAAAATATAATTGTAGAAAAAAAAAAGAAAGATGATCGGTCGGTCGACTGAACGATCGCGATACAGATGTGCACTTTATTGATGTATTTATGTCCGAACTCCGATGCCATTGTATAGAGAAAGAAAAGAGAAGAGAAGAGAGAAGTGTTCATTAGAAAGAGAGAAAAAAAAGAGAGAGAACATATCTCTCAATTAGATTATCAGTCCGTCAAGAAAATGGCACGGGTTAAACTTATCAGTCTGTCCCGTATATGGTATACAATTATTGTTGTATTAATTCATTTAATTCTTGTCTATTATGGTATTAAACAATGTTATTTTAATGATCGTTTATTATGGCCAAAATCTTCTCCTTCACCAAAATTTGAATTATTAGTACAAAAAATATGTCTTTTAATATCACTTGTACTTCTTTTTATATTTATTTATCCATCATTATGTCGAATTGGAAATTATTCAAATGATAATCGAAAAATAACAACAGCTGATTTAAAAAAATCTTATATAGATATATTTTCTCTTTTATGGCAACATTGTTTTTCATTGAGTAGTACGTTACATTTAATTATGAGTTTTCTTATTATTATATCAACTGTACTTATTCATGCTAAACAAATTATGGTTGGTGTTAAAGATTCAGGTAAAAAACATTTTTTTATCAGAATAATCATTATTTATTAAATAAGATAATGTATATATGTAATAATCATTTGTCAATAACGGATCATTTGTTCGAGCACTTTGATTTGATATATTTATCGATTGTGAATTATCTTCATAGATTATATAATTCTATCATATGAAAGAATAGATGAATAATAAAAAGTGATACATAGTTATCTTGAAAGAAATCAATTCATTTGCTTTTTTATTGGATGGTATAAACAATGATATTTTCAAGGTCTCTTTCTTCTTCTAAGAACAAAATATTAGATACAGATGTAGTTGTTTTTTTATATACTAAAGATAAAATATATGTCTGTAAATTTAATTTTAGCATTACTATGGCATACTGATTTTGATTTACTCTTTAATTGGTCATCATCAACATCAATTGCAATGTCTATGTCTAAACGTTTAACTACATCAAATATAAATTCATCATCTATCCCATTTTCATTTGATTCATATTCACGTTTAAGTCTTTTAAATTTTCTATTTGCATCATTTATTTGTATTCTACGTGAACCACATGTATTTTGGTCAATATCAAAACTTTTTTCTATTATTTATTCATTTGCTATTGCTCTTAATGTTTTACAATGGTGTTTAATGTACGGTGCATTACAATTATTATTAAAAAATCTTTGTTATAATACAATTGAATCACGAAATAATATCGGTTATCTATTATCAAATCAACCATATACAACATTTTTTCTTTATTTACTTCTTGAATTTCTTATTTATATATCATCAATAACATTCTATTATTATGCATATAATCGTTTTAAATCATCATCAAATTATGAACGTTGTTCAAATTATTGTCCAAGTTTAATTGGAATTATTATTTTATTATTATATACAGCATGTAAAATGCCACTTGTACATGATATATTTCTACTTTATATACAAACACGTTTACGTCTTTTATTTATAACATTTATCTATGAAATCATACATATTTTATTAATACTTGCTCTATGGATCTATTTAACAACAAAATTAAATTGGAATATTAATTCACAGGAAAATTCTTCATCAAGATTTTATCATGGTTTAAAAGTTCAAAATAATCCAATGCAAACAATATCATTACCAGAATTAAATAAAGATAAATCTTATGAAAAAGTTCGTATATTTCAATCAGAAATTTATTATCATAATCGTCCAAAAAATTGGAGTTTACCATTAAATCAACAATCATCAATAATGGCAACGTTTGATAATGATGATGATATTATTACGCGTTCACCATCATATCCAATAACTCAAAATAATAATAATAATGAAATACAATATCGAAATGCAATAAGAAAAACTCTTTCAAGTATAAATAATTCTCATCCACAACCAAAAGCAGTTTTTCTAAGAAGTAATACACCACCTATACCGCCTGTTAAAAAATTTACAAAAGAACAAGTAGATGCAGCTAGATTACGTGCACAACAAATGATTTATCAACAACAAAGAGCATTAGATTATACACAACAACAACAACGACATTCAGCTGCGCTACTTATTAGTCAAGTTTGATTTTTGTATTTTGCTTTTGTCTTTTTCTTTGTTTTATTACCAAACTGGTTCAATAAATCGTTTTTGTTTAATAACTGGTTTTGATCGAATAATTCGTTTAGATTTTATTAATTTTGGTTTTCGAGTTGTTGTACTTGTAAGAAAAGTTTTCAATTCAAGTAATTCATCATGACGAATACGTGTACCTATAGAAAATATTTCAAAAATTTATACAAGATACAATTTTATTTTTTTTTACCATTTTTTAAACAATGTTCAGCACTTGGTTTTGGACAACGATTGAGAAGACCACTATTTGGAAAACCTATAGAAAATGATATTTTTTATTATGTTTAATTTTGTTTTTTTTTACCATAAGGAAGTTTTGGTTTAAGAAAACAAAATTGTTCAAAAATTCGAAGTTCTAAATCATCTTCTAAATCGAATGCATCACTTCGATTATGAATGATCCATATATTATTTATATCACTCTTTGTAGGAAATAATATAAACCAACGATTTTTTCTCATATCAATTTCAGTTTCTAAAGAAGAAAGACATCTTTGTTTATTTTTCTAAGATATCTAAAGCTTTTTTTTTTGTTTATTACCATTATGTTCAATAGTAACACGAATATAACGTGAAACATTATCAGGTGCTTTACTTTTCTTTATTGTACAATAAACAATAAATTCAAATGTATTTTGTTTATTAGAATAGACATCATTTAAATGATCATTATTACTGACAGGTATTGCCCAATTAAAACGACCAAATAAAATTGTTTCCGCATGTTTTACACGTGTTTCAAAAGTTGGTTGCTCAACATGTAATAACATACCAGCATTGATTAATGAAAATATCATAGTCAGTAAAATAGTTGATAGCAATATCAGCTGCATGAGATCTTTCATATAATATTAATTATGGTAATATGTTAGTTGTATTGTATTCTTTCTTCTATGGGTGTATATTTATATTCTATATGAGAAATGAGAAAAGGGTGGGAAACCATCTGGACAACAATATCAGCAAGAAGAGATGGTTTCTACAAAGAAGAAAAAAA